TCGCCGGATTCGTTCAGTTGAGATTCTCGGAGAGTTTATCAGATTATTTGATTTTTTTTATGTTTCAGGTTCTTCCTTTTCTTCTCTTGCTTTCGTTTCTTTCGAGGTTTCTTTAGACACTTGAAGATTCAGCTGTTCCTTCAGATTGGTAAGTTTCATGTTGTACGTTAAGATAGGATTGCGCGCCACGCTTTCTCTTTCGTTAGGCCCTTTTGCCTAGTATGTAAGTCCTCGTAGCACTTGAGCCTCTCACACAAGGAGGAAGTTACCGGCGACAACCACAGGGAAGGTATCTGCTCGGAACTATAACTCGTGCCAAAACTTAAGTTTTCTTTGGTGCAATAAGCCACGGGCTCCAAAGAGAGTCATAGTTACTCCCGCCCACAGGATGGACATCAGCGTGTTTAATGACCCGAAGCTCCTGTAAGAACAAGTAAGGAAGTCACCGAGGAAGTCACAGACGTCCCTGGAACACATACAATGCGCTCTTTGGTTTCTTGAGATTTATCTTTTTCGTTTCTTGGGATGTTTCAGAGTATACTGAGGGTTCCCAATCTTCATGTGTACATTCTGTGGATAGTCATCTCCGATCTTCAAATTTTTGAAATTCTTCAGATTCTGATCCTTCAGATGTTTTTACTTCGCAGAATTCTTTTGATTCTTGAAATCGTAAAATAGTCCAAGTGCCACCTTACATTTTTGCACCTTAAAAGGCATATTCAGAAAGATGAAAAAGATTCTAAAATTTCTTTTAAAACACTCTTACAAGAATCGGCTTCCTACTAACGCGCCTTTTAATTATTCGCCATAATTGCCTACGCGGCGTACTCATCTCTTTCCTTCTGACGTTCCGCTACACCACCCCCTTCTTATGGATGCTGCATCTCGCGACAGATCTAGATTGTTTGATTCCTATGGTGATGTCGACATTCATTACCTTTGGTGGAGGAAGAAAAGCCGGTATCGCCAAACATCATTCCCAAAGAGAACACTTGCCACAAAGATCAATGAAGTAGTATTTTTGCTGATTCCGCGAAAAAATGGACGAGATTAGTATTTCTGTTTAAAATACGAGATTGCATTTTTTTAGAATTGTTCTATTTATAACCACACGAGATCTAAAGTTCACGATAAGAGTCAGGGATATCTCGAAGTCTTTCACGGTAGCTGCCAAAAACCTTTGGTCAATGCCAGCTATTTTTTTTTATTACAATTTGTGATATGTTTATTTGTATGCAGTTTCTATTTTTCACTCTCTTACGTTTAGATTTGTGCTCCAAATAAAATACATCCCAACATTAATTCAACCATAACAACAAATGACGTTCTATAAAAAAAATGTCAGAAAACCCATGCAATTTTTTTAGCAATTGCACCCAAAATAGTTCTACAGTTAGCTACAGATTAAAATAATAATTATCTTCAAAAATCCCGACCTAAGAAGTTTCTCAAATGATAATTTTACTTAATATTGTTGTGTAAACTGTAGGGGGTATCGCTTCTCTAGGTTGAAATAATGCAGAGAATATGAGCGAGCCACCCTGTGGTTGAAAATTTACGTGATGTGAACATCTTGTACCTCGTCTTGTACAATGTTATTAATTTATTTGTTTAGGACCTGAGGGAATCTGTCAAATGGACACAGAATTTGAGGATTTTATTTAATAGCAATGCAATCCTTAGTTTTTGTATCGTAAATTTAGAATTTGTGTAAGTTATTTACGGGTTGTGGTTGTATTTAATGAGTGTCATAAATAAGGAAACATGTAATTTGAAATCGACGTAAGAAGACAAAATGAAACACGATGCATTATAAAATAAACATAGCAGAATAATTTACAAATTACGGCTGTTATTATTTTATAATGCATCGTGTTTCATTTGTTTAATTTTCCAAGGCCTACCTAAAAGTGTAGAGTCCTTTTCCAAACAATCTTTCGCGCCATCGACAAATACCGGAAATTCTTCAAGATACAATTTAAGCGTTTTTATTAATTAATTAATTAATCTCATTTTGCCAATATTTGAGGTTAGGAACAATATTTTGAAAAACGGTTTTCACTGGCCTCTTTGGATGTTATTTGGCTACTTTTTCATAAAGAAAAAGTCATATCATTCCATTTGATTTCTTTAGGATTTTGAGTCATAGTGTCAAAACTAGCCCCCTGGCGGAAAAGGATTCAATTAAATTAACTATATTGATATTGATTCTCGTTGCCCAAGGAATGCTCTTTTCAACCATACCAAATTCATTAAAATCGGTCAAACGGAAGAAGTTAGAGCAAAAGCAATTGAACGCCCCACATACCATCTTTGTTTTTGAAATAACTGAGTTTTTGTTTTTACGAAAATGATAGATAAACTGGTTCTCTTTAAAAATGGGAAAAAACATTGTTTAGTTTATTATGCGAAATTTAAAGAAAATGCAATTTTAACATTTAAGATAGCAGTTACGCCCTCTGTTGGTCATTTTTAGAACTTGAAAATATTTTCCAGTGATTCTTCATGACCGATTTACTCAATAACTTTTTTACCCATGTCATATGACGAACGGTTCTCGAGATATGGCCGAGGAACAGTCTTATTGGGTCATCCGGTACATTGGAAGCGAGATTGCAAGTATCAAACAAAAAAAATGCGAATTTGTAAAAGTTTTCGTGAAAGTGTAGTTTGTCAGTAAACATAGTTTGGCTATTGCTTGGACCTCGGCTTGGACAGACTGTGAGTTCTCAATTTTTTTTCTTGAAAAAAAAACTTTAAGGAAATTAGAAACGGAAAATTAAAAAAATACATGATTTTAAAACATTTAATATATTGATAATTCACTCATTTACGTGTTTAAGGATCAGTAACATTCAAAAATTGAAAAAATTCAAGAAATCAAGCAATATAAGAAACAGGAAGAACCTTGGAAATTCAGAAGAGCTATTGCAATAATACGAAGAAAATGTAAAACATTACTTAAGCAACTGTGGACCAAATTCCAAATATTCAAAAAATTAAAATTCGTAACAATCTGGAATAATTAAAAAAACTGTAATTGTACCTGTAACTGTAAATGTAATTCATAAATATTTCAGAATCTCATGAAAAAATTCAGAAAGAAATTAAAGAAAACAGCAAATGTACACAACAATTCAAAGTTGTTTTCGTCGAATTTAACAAAAAATCAGAAAAATTCATACTTTCAAAGCGAGTTTCAAAAGATCAATGAAAATTCATAAACAAAAACTTTTAAAACATTCATTCATATTTCAATCGCTAAAAAATACATTTCAAAAATTCCAAATCACAATCAATTTAAGAGAATTCAGAAAAATAAATCATTTTGGAAAATAAGTATGGGCTCGATTCCCGTTCGACGCAGAATTTTTTATATTTTATATATTTAGCATTTCTACTTTTCGTCAGACACCACGTTGACGTAGGATGACACAGAAATTTTGAATTACAAAGAAGGCGCACAAGTCAGCATTTTTTCTTAGTTTGCGCGCACGTTATCAATTCTGTTTTTATAGAGAATATTGTAATGCCAACGTACTGCCAAAGTAAAAAGAACCATTTTAAACCCCAACAATCGAAAATCATTAGTGAAAAGGTTTTTTTTTCGTTTTCGAAATTGTGGTAGTTTACGTTTACATTGCGACACGTCAAATTTGACAACTGTTTACTACCGTTTTCATGAATTTATCGCGTTTTGCTTCATTCAATATTCTAGAAGCATAATTGCCGTAAGTCTCATTGCGCCCAAAGTTGTATAACCCAAAAATGCCATCGGTTTTCCCTAGAAAAAGTAAGCAACTTATTTCTAATCCCCAGATTAGAGACTTTATGCAGGGATCTTAAGACCATTTTCTTTAATCTTAGAATAAGGGGACGTGTTGCCCCTATTATTCCCTAGTTTAAGTGGGCTAAAAAGTTGTCAAGTTCTAAGCGTGTTGACGTTTTGAAGAAGTAAAAACTAATAAATAAAAATAGTTTATCTTCTAAAATCGTCCGTTATAGTGTTTTTGTTTATAAACAACAATAACAACTCCCACTCAAAATGTCGTTTCCGAATTCATACTTCATTCTTAATTCTCTTAAGTAAATCTATTCGTTGCTGATTAAACTTACCCTTTTTATGGATTTCGGCAGAAAATCAACTTGAACGATGAACTAGTTACATGATCGCGAGTGCAAAAACGAAAACTAATGGATTGAGATCGAAACAATTTTTTTTGAATCAATTCCGACAAAGTGCTCAAGTTAATTATACCAAAATCCTCACGTTTCAAACTTTTAATTGGAATATTTGTGAACGGTTTCACCTTCAAGCGGATTCCCTTCATTAACTTTACAAGTTATCTTCAAAACTAATTGGGCAAACATTGAAAACTGTTTACACGACTTTATTTGTAAATATAATTTTCGATTTCTGTGTTTACGTAACCGGCGGCGGCGGTGTGGGACACGCTCACTTTTCGCGAGTTAGTCACGCGGGGGTCCATTTTTAAAACGAGTACTTTCAATTTCATGGAGAAGTAGGCGAGTTGACCAAGAAGCACGAAACCAAACTTAATGGATACGGTACAAGCTTATTTTCAAAAAAACTTAATTGATTAATAACGGGTTTTAACGGAGTTGCGTGCCTAGAATCCCTCGCATATCTTTGTGCGGGAAACTTTTTGAATTAATCCTCATATTTAAACATCCGTATCGCCGACGAAGAGGCGGGAGACGGCGATTACAATGTGTTTACTTAGGCGCCGCATCTTTTTTAATTCTTCTGATAATCGGGGAACTACGACAGCGATAAAGGTCAAGGGAAACTTATTGTGGATAGGTTCTTTGTGGTCGTGCCACAAGGTGAGGCACCGGGACCGTTGGTGCGACTTTTATTGGAGTGCCGCCAACTGCTAAAAGCGAAATTCTGCAAGAGTTCTAATTTTAACTCGAAAGGCTAATGTTTAGTAATTGCGGAATCGGCCTCTAGTTTTTTTTTAAATCCAAAATCTTACCTGTGCATAAGAAGATGAGAAGAGCGCCAAAATAAATAACCCTCATGGCTTAGAAATTAAAAAAACTGTCACAAAGCACTAAAAACCGAAACGAAAATAAATTGAAAAACTACGCTGGAAAAAGTAACTCGCGCGTACGAACAAGAATTTAACCGGTTAACATCAACCGCAAAACTAAAGCCGCTCTCAGCTTTCAGCTACCGGAATATCGGAAAGTATTTTTGAACTTTGCGGGTTTGCGCGCGCACTTTTAACACCAAGAATAAAACTCTTCGGACACGAACGGCGCTTTTGCTATGAATGAATACCGTCGGCGAACTTTTAATTTATATGCGAGAGTCATTATCAATTATTATTCATAAATTCGCGTACTCGCAACCGCAATATTTAATCACGGAGTATTTCTGTATGTGACTGGCACCTGAAGACGAGCCTGCCGGTCTCACATCACCAAAAGGGGATTCTCTAATGAGCACCGTCTGGTGTCCCAAGGGGTGAAGGTACACCCCAACCGGATAAGCGAATGTTACGCACAATAAACCACAGAGTAAGCTTATTTTAATTAGCGGTCCTTAAGTAATTAGGTCTTCCAGCTTTTGACGAATCAATTTTATTTTGGCAACACGCAAAATTGTGACTAATAAGCCGGCCTGATGCGACCTCATCTCTATTTATATTTTGATTCTTGTCAAGCCCCAAAGCGCCAGAGGGAGAGCGATGCACACACCTTTTTTTCGCAAGACGGTGGGTATACAATAACAAAGAGCGTAATTTGGAGGGGAAGTTTTTGTTGCGGCGGCGCTAGCTACCCTTTCATTTGAAAAGATTTAGTAATGTATGCGAGCCATAGGTACCTACCTAAGTAGTTGGTGACAGAATTTAATAAGCCACACTCAGGTAAAGGAAAAAGATTTCTGTTGGAACACTTTTCCACATCTAAAATTATGACGTGTGCTCCAAAAAATGACGAGCTGCAAATTTACAGATCTATCCCGGAATACTTTCTCTAAAACATTTTAGGCGTCCCTTCTAGGTCAGTTCTAGGTCATTTCTAGGCTCGCTTAGAGTTAGATCTAAAACGGTAAGCTTTGAAACAGCCCTGGAAAGTTTTCTGTTTTCTGATTTCCTAAGCGAAGATGCTCTGGAATGGCGAGTGGCGTAACATCATTTTAGAGGCCCATCTTCAAATATATTTGGGGGCCCTTTTTTTTATATCAGCAATTTTTAAACGATATTATGTTAATCTGTATATGTATGTAGAAAATATGGTGTCTTGAATTAGCTTCGCCGATTTTGAGTTTTGTAATTCATTGGTTCACAGGTCCTTGTAGTCCAGTCAACCTGTGTCGTAAAACACCCGTTGAAGGAAAAAAATAGTATAAAGCTAATTTTTTCCCCATCGACTACTACCATTTAGACAAGTGTTTAGCCAAAAGTCCCCACCCCTACCCCCCTTGCTTCCCTCCCTGTGCCCCCCTAAACATGAAAAGTGTAAGGGTTTCTTAAATCGCGTCTCTCTCGATTACTAAACAACATATCGGATTGCAATTTGTTTTATTCTCTTTGCTATAACATTGTCTACAAATAATTTTCAATTGACTTTCGTCGTAACTTTTACCGTTTGTTGGTAATGACTATGAAAAGGTAAAAAGTGGTATATTTTTCGGCACGTAATTTTACTTTTTGTCGCAGAAATTTTCACGCCGACATTTTATCAAAAAATGTTGCCTACAAAAGTTGTAGCTCCCATTATTACCTTTAAAATGATATGACATAGTACGTACTTTGTTGAAGAGCCTGCGAGATTCAGCCGGTGTAATGCAGAATGCGTACCCAGTCGTGGCGGGCTTCGTCGAGGTGGCCCCGGCGGCGCGGCGTTACAATGCTAATATTGTTGTATAGTGAGTGTTTTTTTTTTAACTTTAAGGTACACTATTGCATCTTCTCTAAACAAAACCTAAATTCCACCCTTTTTCAATTTGTGTCAAATGTTAATAAGTCCTTGTATACAGCTAAAAATCGTATTTTAAATAGTTTTTTCTATTTCGGTGTCACAATGATGATTTTGTACAACTGTTTTCGGCCGAAAACAGTTGTACAAAGGCAGTGATTATAGTCGTTTTTTTTGGTAACTCATCTCTTAAGTTGGCAGTTACTAGTTAGTACAAGTAGGTACTTCGTTGGGTACTTCCATGTTTGAACTTCAAAATGTCAGTCTTACTACGCTGCCAACCTAAAACTTAACGGCATAAAAAGTGTTCCCAACATAAAACATGTTAGTTCTAATGTTCCCTATAGTTTCTGATAATGATTTTTTTAATTAAATTAAAGCACCGAAATAGAAAAAATAGTATGAAAAACGCGTGTTACAATGCTTTATTGTAATACTCCTATCTTGCGGACACTCGTGGCTACGCTTCGCGTCGCCACTCGTGCCACAAGATAGTCGTATTACAATAGGTCGCATTGTAACACTTGTCTTTCAATATACTATTCTATTACCCAAAATCGTCCTGAAACCTTCATTTCCATGCTTACTTTCTGTCAGGAAATTTTAGTTTCCATGACAGAGGCAGAGCAGTACGTTTCCTGCCGTTTCACTTTACCGACCGCACCGTCACTTTACCAATTACCGGCCGCATTTGTGACATTTCCAAATGTCTATAAAGACTCCTGTCATCACTGAGACTGACATTAATCAAAAGTTCTATATAAAAATTGAAATTTGATATTAAAATACGATTTCGGGTAAAATTGCATACAAACCTCGTCAGTAAAATGACATTACCTGACTCGGAAATTAAAGTACTCGACAGTAATGTATCATTTTCCTGAGTTTTATGTAAATAACTATTGTTTAAAAATGCATGTAATATTTTTTTATGTTATTTTAGAACAAACTAATTGCGGTATCTTAATTTGAAGTAAAAAATATTTTCAGATTATTCACATTAAAAAATAAATTGATGTTGACCATTTCCGATTTCCTAAACTTCCAGGACAAGTTCTTCATTTTCCTTGACTTCAACCAAAGTTACATTACTGCATGATCCGCCACAGCTCCCACACATTTCTGTGCAACAAGTGATGCTTTAAAGCAGCTGCCATTACTTTTGCAAGCCTTTTTGCAGTTGCAGGATCCAGTTTTGAATCTGATAGTATGCTCGATAGACGATAAGCGTGTTGTTCAGCAGCACCAGATGTTGGAGGGAGGGATGCGATGTTAAATTTGGATTTTAATGACATTTTTGCAACAGCTTTAAGTTACATTGAATATCAGACATGCAGACCTTGTGCATCCATATTTTTTTCAGGAAAAAAACCTCTCCTACCTCTTTGAGAATATTTTTGTCTGCCTGTTTTTCATAAAACTGTCATTTGATGAACTTAGCAACTTGTATGCGTTGATTTTGGAAGAGCAATAGTGTCTCCCGACTCCCAGATTCAAAGTGTGAGGCCTACAGTTGTTGTCGGACAGGATTCCGATCTTTTCTTCCACAAACCCTCTGGCATACCATCAACCTATGACATCGGCAAGACCCGTGAAGAGATTGGTGATATGAAGGAATTTTTTTATGCTATCACAGAATGTGATACCACGTCTTCTTTATTCGGCAAAGGCAAAATCAACGAGAACAAATCGGAAATGGTCAACATCAATTTATTTTTTAATAAAAAAAATTAAGATACCGCAATTATTTTCTTCAACATAAACGAAATATTACATGCATTTTCAAACAAAAAACTATTTAAAATACATTTTTTAGCTGTACTTATACAAGGACTTATTAATATTTGACACAAATTTAAAAAGGGTGGAATTTAGGTTTTGTTTAGAGAAAATGCAGTGTACCTTAAAGTTAAAAAAAACACTCACTATACAACAATATTAGCATTGTAACGCCGCGCCGCCGGGCCCACCTCGACGAAGCCCGCCACGACTGGGTACGCATTCTGCATTACACCGGCTTAATCTCGCAGGCTCTTCAACAAAGTACGTACTATGTCATATCATTTTAAAGGTAATAATGGGAGCTACAACTTTTGTAGGCGACATTTTTTGATAAAATGTCGGCGTGAAAATTTCTGCGACAAAAAGTAAAATTACGTGCCGAAAAATATACCACTTTTTACCTTTTCATAGTCATTACCAACAAACGGTAAAAGTTACGACGAAAGTCAATTGAAAATTATTTGTAGACAATGTTATAGCAAAGAGAATAAAACAAATTGCAATCCGATATGTTGTTTAGTAATCGAGAGAGACGCGATTTAAGAAACCCTTACACTTTTCATGTTTAGGGGGGCACAGGGAGGGAAGCAAGGGGGGTAGGGGTGGGGACTTTTGGCTAAACACTTGTCTAAATGGTAGTAGTCGATGGTGAAAAAATTAGCTTTATACTATTTTTTTCCCACTAAAAACACAGGTTGACTGGTAGTCCAGTCAATAGAGACCTAAATAGGGGAGTTTAGTCAAAAATTTGGTGTCCAAGAGGTTATGACTGATTCTTATGTATTTTTTGGCGTAGATTCCGAATTTTTAATCTCCCACCAACCTTAGGGGGTGGGAACCCCCCCAAAAATGCAAAAAACCCCAAAATTTCGGCCCAAAATTCAGAATTTTGGAAAAATCTCGCTAAATTTAGATTTTTGGCCCAAAGTACCTTAGTTCAAAATTAAAGTACACAAAATTTGCAGGAAAAGTGATATATACACTTTTGGTCTAGGACCAACGGGGGCGGAGATAAGAGGGAGGTCAAAAAAGGGTACTTTGTTGGAAAACGTGAAAAAAACGGAATTTCTCTGAATAACTCTCTAAATGTTGGTTTTAGAGAAAAAACTCAAAGGACCAAAATGAAAGTAGACGAAAAATTACTTCGGAAAGTGCACGTGTGCGGAGCCGATGAAGGGGGGGAGGAGGGGGAGGGGGCGAGCGCAAAACCTCTCTTCCTGGCGCCGCGCGACGGCACTGGCATAAGGCGCTATACGCGCAGTTTCGGGTATCTCTGGTGGCCTCGGTCCCGGTCATAACGGATGCTTCTTTGTCCTTATTTTAGAAAGGGGCCTCTGGCTTCCCCCTCCCTCTTGTTGGTCGTTTGTATGCTTTTTGTGTCCTCTGGAAACCAGTTCAAGATCCTTCTTCAGTGCGTCTGTGTTGTCGCGTCGTGCGCATCACGCTATATTGCTCCGTGCTTATTTACTATTTTTCGCCTGAGCCAGTAGAGGTTGAGTTTTTATTTAAAGATGGCCTAAAAAAGTGCGAAAGTAACGTTTCTTGCTG